CTATCTTTTTGGTATTGTGAATCGTGCTGTGATGAACACAGGTGTGTATATATCTACTTGTGTCCTGACTTGTATTTTTTGTGGATATATATCAAGTAGAGGGATTGCTGGGTCATAAGGTGTTTCTACTTCCACCTTTCTGAGGAAGTGACACACCGTTTTCCAAGGGTGGTTGAACCATTTTATAGTCCCACCAACAGTGTAGGAGGGTTCTAGCCTCTTAACACCCTCGCCTGCATTTGCTGTTTTCTGTTTTTTTTAACTTTGCTGCTAATGCTGGTGTGAGATGCTATCTCATTATTGTTTTGAAGCCATGGTAGTTTTAATTGCCTCAAATTCATGTGAAAATTGGAAAATGAGTAAGAAAGACCAGAGAAAAATATTAAAAGTACCAGGGACTGCCAGAAAAACAAACAAATCTGTGTTGAAAGAAGTATAATCAGAATGCTCTTTGGGAGCCAAGATGATGATACTTTGTCTCTCATATTTTGGACGTGTTATCAGAAGGGACCAGTCCCTGGAGAAGGACATAATACTTTATAAAGTGGAGGGTCATGGAAAAAGAGGAGGACGCCCCCCCCCCCATGAGATGTATTCATACAGGCAAAGCGGTAGCAATGTGCCCAAACTTAACAATAACTGTGAAAATGGCGGAGGACCAAGCAGTGTTTCCTTCTGCTGTGTCTGGTGTCACTAAGAGTCAGAAATGACTTGAAGGCATCTAATAATAACTGTTACGTAATTAGTGTTAAAATTTGTTCATGGATAGAAATTGTTGTGTTGTGAAGTGCCATCAAGTCAGTTCCGACCCATAGTGACACTAACTATGATTAAATTAAATTAATAATCATTTAACTATTATTTGCATATTACATCATATATTTTTTACCTGTGTTCTCTGAAGAGTTAGGAATTGGTGGCAATTATACTTGGCTTGGGATCAGGAGGCTCTGCCACTAATTCCCTACATGACCTTGACTGAGCCATTTTACCTACCTGAGAACCAAGTTGAGACAGATGGACTGTATATGATTTCATCTCGCAGTCTATGGTGTTATGAAACCAGAGAGCTGACATCTTACTTTATTTTCAAAGTTGAAACTGCACCATCTATATGTATAGACCAACCAGTATGAAAAGGGAAAATTCTCGAGCTTGCACATACCAACATGTAGAATGAAACTTGTTATATAAAATCCACATAAAAAAAGACTATGTATGCCATTTTGTTGGAAAATTATAGTGAGAATACGATTCTAAAATATATTGATGAATTATTGAACAGATTTCAGTCTACGTAGTTTATTGGATCACAGAAGGCTCCTGTTGTTGTTAAGTGCCGTCGAGTCGGTTTCAACCCATAAAAGAATTGATGCAATTGAGTTACAGTATTGGGAGGATACTATTAAAGGTATCATGGGCTGCTGCTAAAAGAACAAACAAATTTGCATTGGAAGAAGTACAACCAGAATGCTCCTTAGAAGCTAAGATGACCAGACTTTGTCTCTCATATTTCAGAAAGATCATATTATTAGAAGGAACCAATCCCTGGAGAAAGAACTCATGCTTGGTAAAATCATCAAAAAAGAGGGAGACCCCCAACAAGATGGATTAGCACAGTGGCAGCAGCAATGGGCTCAAACGTAGCAGCAATTGTGAGGATGGTGCAGGACCAGGCGGTTGTAAACTAGCTCTGGTAGTGTAGTGGCTACAAATTGGGCTGCGAACCACAAGGTCAGCAGTTCGAAACTACCAGTCTTCCGTAAAGACTTACAGCCTCGGAAACCCTGTGCAGGGTCGCTATGTGTTGGAACTGACTCCACAGCACACAACAACAACAACACCTGGAGTCACTGTGAGTAGGAACTGACTTGACAACACCTAACAACAGCATAGGGTTTCTGAGGAGTTTAACTACCCATGTCTTTCTCGCGGTTAGCAATCCAGTGTTTATCCTATAGTGCCATACCAGGACTCTTATCCTCTGGAATTTGGACTGAAGGTTATTTCTGGTCACAAATACTGTTGTTAGCTGCACTGGATTCGACCCCTGCCTCATGGTCACTGTGAATTAGGACTCAATGAAACAAAATGCTGCCTGGTGCTGATTAGTTACAGACCCACAGGTCTTCATTGGCTGGTTTGTGGACCTAGTGTTGTTGCTGTTGTTACGTGCCGTTATTGTTGCTTTTGTTGTTGTTGTTGTTGTGTACTCTGGGCTTGAGGTTCATGGTGGATAATCTGTGCGCCTCGCCACGCAGTTCCTGGTTGACTGGAGCCATTGCCCTTTGCCCTCTCATCCACCTTTGCTGCTTCTATCATCCTTTGACAAAGGTTAAGAAAGAGTTCTTCAATTCCTTTGTTTTGTTAGGTTGAAGTATAATAATGTTTTGCTCCCACAGATTCTGCATACGATTCTGCTTCTTGTATGGAAACATGTCTCTCATTTTCCAAGTCTATTTTATTACCAACTATACCATAAACCTCTGGTAGCAGTGGTTACTAATCAGGCTGTGAACCGCAAGGTCAGCAGTTTGAAACTACCAGCTGTTCTGTGGGAGAAATAGGAGGTGTTCTGCTCCCATACAGATTTACAGCTTTGGAAACCCTGTACAGGGTGGCTATGAGTTGGAACTGACTCCACAGCACACAGCCACCACCACCACACATAAACCTGGTGTGGTGCTGTGGGTTAATGCGCCAGACTGCAAAGCCATTTGAACTGCAAGGTTGGAGCTTCAAGCTCACCAGTGTCTCCTTGGAAACCCTATACAGGGTCACTATGGATTGGAACTGACTCGACAGCACTTCACAACAACAACAGACATAAACAGATTTCATTTCCCAACACATTCCGTAATTTTTTGACCCATTTTTTTACCTTCTGAAAAAAATCTTCATCTGTCATGTCATAAACTAAAACAGCTCCATTTGAATCTCTGTAGTAAATTGGACCCAATGCATGAAATCTTTCTTGACGTGCTGTATCCCATACGGCAAAGTTTACTCTTTTCCCAACAATATTTAACTTCTTTGTTAAGAAAGATGCCACCACGTCAGGAACCGGGAAAAAAAACGAGAAGTGTTCCTTCTCCGCCTCCCTCGAATGGCTTCTCCTTCCTCCTACAGCACACTCATAGCGACCCTGTACAGGGTTTCTGAGGCTGTCAATCTTTGCGGGAGCAGAAAGCTTCATCTTTCTCCCTTGGAACAGCTGGTAGTTTCGAACTACTGACCTTGCGGTTCGCAGCCTGATTCGTAATCACTACGCTACCAGAGCCAGGTCTTTTTTCCTTCCTGTGAGGCACACGATCCAGGAATCAGCCCTTGATCCTGAGAATTCTACCACTCATGCACATTTGTCCCACCACCACCCCAGTCAAAAACCTACACCAAAAATTTACATAAGGGAGGTAGAAGTCCCTCTAGGAAGTGGGAAAAGAAATCTCTATGAGACGTCCTAGAGGATCGTCTCATAGATACGTGTCTTAGGGAACGAGGGCTTTATTCCTACTGGACTTCTGACCGTCAAAAGCAAAGAATAATGCTGTCATCTAGAGAGTGAAGTGAGAAGTGAAGGAAGTCCCAAAAAACTGAGATTCTCAGGTCCTGGAAAAATTGAAAAGCCACATAAGGAAACAGACAGAAACAGAATAAGGTTTATTTATGTCTTGATTGTTTGGGAAGTTGGAGAGAAAGAAGGCTGATTTCTTAATAAAACACTTGTTAAAATTACACATGTTCTACAGTGCTATCTAGTCATGCCATCAACAGACCTAATTGGTGTCCTTCTATTAGGTGCCATCAAGTCAGTACCGACTCATAGCGACCCTATGCACAACTTTACTCATTTTCTGGCACTATATCTGACAATGTTTCTCTGCTATTCATAAGGTTTTCAGTGACTAAATATTCGGAAGTAGTTCGTCTCTCCTTCCTAGTCTGTCTTTGTCTGGAAGCTCATCTGAAACCTGTCCATCCTGGATGAACCTGCTTGTATTTAAAATACCCGTGGCATAGCTTCCAGAATCACAGCAACTCACTAGCCACCACAGTCTGACAAACTGACAGACTAGTGGTGGAACAGACCTGATTAACAAGTGTAAATTCAGACAGCACTGGGCCACTGGGTCCCTCTTACCCAGGCAATTGGAGGCTTTCAGTCACCCCAAGGTTCCCCCATTGTCTAAATATTTATAAATTTACAGAAACAAACACACACATACTTGTATGTACCCAAATGAGACCGGCTTTGAAAAGCATCCATTTGTCCAATGATGAGACTAGTTTTGCACATGGGTTTCTTTTTGAAGAGATGAAAAATTGCCTTTCAAAATCTTTAGACTGAAAAGAGAAATCAGAGGAAGCAAGTTTGTTTTACATAGCAAGTTAGCATTTCTCATTGAAATACACAAATCCCTTTGACTCACCCTTCAGCCATGGAGCCTTTACCAACATCTTCACCTTACAAAGGAGACCACCACCTTCTAGTTGGAACAGATCAACACCTGATAGTGTCCACTTACCTCTCCCTATAAAATAATGTGATTTCTATAAGCTAATGTAAATTGGTCCTTAAAACAATAGCCTCGTGGTAATCTTAATATCCATGGGAATATGGCAAGTTAACACACTGCAAGGCAAATAATTTTAAAACCATGTCCACACACACCATCTCAATCACCAAAAACATACATAGGCTACTCCAGGTATTATGCAACGCTGGATTCTAAATCGGTCTTAATTTATAAAAAGCCAATAGATATGACTAGACATTCTCAGTTCTTGTAGCTGTGAGTGTTATCATCCCAGCAGTGAACACACATGTTTGTGTATTTGTCATTGTTTTAAGACACCACAACACCAAAGGGAGCGTTTTTCGCCTTCGCATTCTAAGGCTCTCCCCAGAGAATGTCTGATGAATGCCCACCTCGCCTTCTCCCACCAAAGGTGGCTCCTGATCGTAACCACAGCGCCTCTGTCCCCAGGTCTGAGGAAAGCTCATCTTAGTAGAAGACCCTCGGTAGATCCAGCCGCCCCGCCAGCTACGCGGAGGCCGCACGATTTCATCATTAATGCTCCTGAAGGACAATAGCTCATCAAGCCACACCGAAAGCCCCGGACCCGTCGCGGAGACTGGGCTGGCGGGGGATGAGGCTGAGCGACTCCTCCTAGAGGTGGTTATGTGGAGAAGGAGCAATCCCTTCTCCCTCCTCCTCCTCCCCCCGCTACTATCCGCGGCCCGGAGAACTGCCGCTTGCCGCCATTGACACGCACAGATAGAGCCCAAAGAAAGGCAAAGAGTTCTGCCCGGCACCGGCGCTGCGCGGGCCGAACCTGCGCCCGAGAAGGGGCGCGCAGAGGGCACCGGGCGCCGGGAGCAGGCGGGGCAGCACCAGGTGAGCCCGCCATAGCGATGGCATTATTGTTTCAGGGGCTACGGGGTCTGCAAACAAAACGCGCCGCTAGGGCAGTGCAGGGGCCGGAGAGAACCACCTCCACCTCTCCCCGCAGCTCCAACGGGCGTACCCCCAATAACCAATTCTATCAGCCAAAAACAAATAAATAAATAAAGCTGCCCAACTTGCTTCCTCGGGAAATAAAGGGGGGTGCTCGAGAAGCAGTAAAATTCCTGCGGCCGGAGAGGGACCTGGGGCTTCCAGAGCCAGGAGGGAGGGAGAGGAGATACAGGGTTCGAGCGGCGGGCCACCGGAGATGCTGGGGTGGGGAGGAAGCGCGAGGCTTCAGGGGATGCAGAGTTTGGGGCGCAGAAGAAGAAGGAGGGAGGCGCACAGCTGCCGATGGGAATTGGCCGAGGGCGGGGAACTGCGGAGGGGTCGGGTAAGGCCGCTGCGGGGCCTCAGAGGGTGCCGGCCTGGGTGCCGGCCGCTCCAAGATGACAATGGAAGGGGCACGGGAGTAGGGGGAGGGAAGGGACCCAGCTCTGGGGGCGGGCCGCGAAGAGGAAGGTCAGGCTGGGGACGCCGGACGACGGGGGCGAGCTTCGAGGGCTGTTGCCCGAAGCCCAGGCGCCGCAGGCGGGCGTTTGTCCCTGGACCCCGCGCAGAGGAGGGCTCGGAGCCGGGCACTCCCCTCCGGTTCCCTTTCCGGGGCGCCCGGCGCCGACGCGCTCTGCGTTGTCGCCGGGAAATGGCGGCCCCTCCATGGCTCTCCCGGCTAGTCTCAGGTTCCCGTTTTGCGCGGGAAAAAGGAAAAAAAAAAAAAAAACAAGAGAGAAGAAAGGGAATAGAAGTAAAGTGATTGCGACGCAGGAAAGGGCTTGCGCGGGCGCAGGGCGCAGTGCGAACGCGAGCAGGGCGCGGCGGGCGGGGACCGGCCCAGACTCCAGGGCTCCCATTCCGCTCTCCTGACGCGCGCCTGGCTTCCAACCTCATCAGCCTCCAAAATCGCGCCCGTGGGTGTCTTTCCTCGCCATTCCTCGTGGGGGCGCCCTAAGTTCCTGCCCCTCTTTGTTCCGCACAACAATGGTCAGAGAACCATTGAGTCCCTAAAGGGCTAAATGAGCCACATTCTCCAGGAGTTTCTAGTCGCTGATTGTCCCTGGCGTGAAACGGGTCTCGGTAGGCTTGATTTAGGCTCTGTCACTGCTGGCAATCATTCGCCAGAAGCCCCACTCAAGAAACGCCCAGGGAGGGTGAAGGGATGAGAGAAGCAAGAAGAAATAAACTGAGAAACCAAGGGTCAGGTTTGAGGGTTTTGATATGGGAAAGATGGTGTTGCAGCCCTTAATTGTAAAGGCAGTTTCTGTATTACACAATTGTGTTGGTGAACTGAGGTATCATTCCAGCCTCTGTCCAGCTCCGGGGAATTCAAAACAAGGGTCTACTTCTAAGTTTCCCCCTCCCCCAGACCTCTGGAGCCCATTCCCCTAGGGTTAATCAATCCCCTGTGGCAAATGGTTTCTTCTGTCCTCATTTGTGTTTGTGTTGAAATACAATAATATCCTCAGTGCACTGCACAGTTGCTATTGAAATAGTTCGGTAGGTGTGAGCGCAAGGAAACTATTAAAAGTGGAAATGAGTATTCCGCTGTGTTGTTTCTTATTCAAAAACATTTCTTGTGAAACATAAACTAAACTACATATATATCCCTCAGATCTTTTATGAAACATAAACTAAACTACATATGTTCCTCAGATCTTTTATATTTAACTGAAAGTTGCCTCTGACTCTTTTGTTTAGAAAGCACTTCTTAATTGCAAACTAAATGTTCAAAGCCCCAGGATTTTGAACCATGTTCGCTGATTTTTAAACTGCTTTAGCCCGGCATTATCATATAAATAAATCCAGACACTGCCAGGACCAAAAGTTTATCTTGAATCACATAATCCATACTTTAAAAACCCCCTTTTCGGTATCCAATTTTCCTTTTAAAATATACTCAGTTCTCCTTTCTTTTTTGCTTACTCTGTTATTGCCCCTCTCCACCTGGATCCATTTATTGCTATGCTTTAGGCATTATTAATGGCTTCCTCTGTTTCAGAACTCTGTGAAAGAATTTACCTCCTTGGATCCAAAATATTCCAAAGATTCTGACACTACTCCCATACCATTCCATCTTCTGTCTAGTTCCCAGGGTTTTTGAGGCGCCTTTGGTCTGCTGTTTCCCAGCAGGAGGGACACCCTGCTAGCTATTGTCTGAGACAACCCCTGTCTTCTTTCCTTGTCTCCTGCCAGCAAAACGGGAGGTTAATCCTGTCTTTGGCAACTTAAAATGAAAGATCTGTAACTTGTTCAAGGGGAGGGATATGCAAGGATTCAAACAGTATTCTTAAACACATATTTGATTCTTAAGAAACAATCTCAAAGGCAGATGCAATCTTGTCCAATGCTTTTGAACACTGCACATACAGAGTTGAGCAAAGAATGATAATAAACAGCTTGAACACCAATTTTTAAATACCTCTCGATAGGGGCATAAAGCAAATATAAGCCTTGTTTCATGTAGTTTACAACTCTAAGCTAAGGAGACAAAGTATGCTGTTAAGTGCCAAGGAGTCATTTCTGCCTCATAGTGACCCTATATAGGGTTTCTGAGAGCAGCTGACCTTGAACCCCTGACCTTGCGGTTAGCAGCCCAGTGTTTATCCTACAATGCCACACCAGGACTCCAAGATAATGTATATACACAGATAAAGCAGGCGTGATCAATATTGGCAACGAGTAGGAAAACAGGTGCTTTCACATACTGCTGGTGAGTGTGTAAATTGACAAAGCCAATTTGGAAGGAAGTTTGGCACTATTAAAATTTTATTAATGTGCTCATTCTGTAACGAGCAATTCCATTTCTTGATATGTATCCTAGAAAAACAGCTATACCATTGCTGGTAGTTCTGAAAAAAATGAACACAACCTAACAGTCACCAATAGAAGATGGCTACCCTGGTGTAGCGCTGTAGGATGAGCACTAGGCCCAAGAACTGTTTAAACCACCGGGTTGGCAGTTCAAACTCACCAGCCACTCCTTGGAAAACCGAAGAAGAGTTGCTATGAGTTGAAATTGGCTCGATGGTGCTTAACAACAACATATACTCTACAATTCGTGGGTGATGCAAACAGTTAACACAGATTAGTAGTTTGAATCCATCCAGAGGCCCTTTGCAAAAACGCCTGGTGATCTTCCCCAAAAAATCAACCATTGAAATCAACTGGAGCTCAGCGTCTGCCTCACACTTCCTTCTACCTGACTTCCCTTTATCCCTTCTCCATCCAAACTGTGCTCCACAAAGGTTAGGCCACATTCCTGTGGCACTGTGAGATAAAGCACTCGACCGCAAGATGGGTTTGAAGCACAAGGTTGGCGGTTCAAATTCACCAGTTACTACTTGAAACCCTCTACAGATTTGAAATGAGTCAGAACCAACTCGATGGCACTTAACGAGAACTTAAACTTCTCTTCTCTCTTTAAAAATTATTGTAGCATTTGATTTGTGACTTTAATTACACATTATCAATCACTTGAAAATTATTTGTATGTAATTATCCAAGCAACATGTAAATTAATTCAAATTGCAAACTTTCGAATATTAGAAACAGTGGCTAAGGATGGATATGATAGTTTGACCAAAGTTCTTCTTGACAACCCACTCTGATTCTCATCTACTTTAGTCATGCATTCTTCCAGACCACTTTTATATACTTGAATATGGTGCTTTGGGTTAATACGCTGTAGACTGCAAGGTAGGTTTGAACCGTAAGGTCGGCTGTTCAAGCTCATCAGCGGCTCCTTGGAAACCCTATGAGTTGGAACCAAACTTGACAGCACTTTAACAACAACAACATTTGTTTTTACTTTAGAAGTTTTTGTGTTTTCTCCACAAATGGTGTACCATCCAGTATCTGTAATTCGCTTTTTAAAATCAACAGTCTTGGTGAGCTCTCTGTTTCAGTACATATAGATTTGCTTCATCCTTCATAACTGCTTTCTAGTATTCCAGAAAAAATATATATCCAAGTTTATAACATCACTACCAGATGTCAAGACAGCCCCATACTTGTCAGAGTAGTACTCGGATCATAGGATTTTCGATGGATGATTTTTCAGAAGCAACCACCAAGCCTTTCTTATGAAGCAACTCTGGGTAGACTTGAACTAACAACCTTTTGGTTAGCAGTCAAGCTCCTTAATTGTTTGCACCATCCAAGAACTCCAAAAGTAGGAATGGGGGACTAACTGATCCTTCAAGTTCTTTTTCATCATACATTATTATGATTTGGTGAAATCCTCTGAATTGAAATTTGTGATGATTATGAATTCCCAGGCAGATGGCAGCTTGCCCTCTTGTTAGCAGCGGTTGATTATTTCCACCTGATTTTTTGCAATACAGGATTAGATGAGTTGTTGTTGTTGATTGTGAAGTATTGTCAAGTCGGTTCTGATCCATAGCGACCCTGCATAGGGAGGGTTTCTGAGAAACGACTGGTGAGCTTGAACCGCCGACCTTGCAGTTCAAACGGTTTTGCAGTCTAGCGCATTAACCCACAAGGCCACACCAGGACTCCCAGATGAGTAGGGGCCCCAAAGTGTCCAGCCCTGGAAAAAACAGAAGCGTTCTCATTGTATGGATTCCCAGTAGGCTGTGTAACTCGCAGAATGTTCCCAGGACTAAGATTTTATTACTCCGCATTCACACCAACTTCTAAGATCAATGAGGGAAAGAAATAGAAGTTTCTTCAAGCACTGTAATATTATAGTAGAGGATTTTGAAATGGAGGGAGGAATAGACAGAAATGTCATTTAGGAAATGTTAACCTGCTGTCGTATTCAAGTTTCTCTAGAAAACTTGTATGTGTATATATATGGAGTCCTGGCATGGCGCTGTGGGTTAATGAGTTGGAGTGCCAGGTCAGCGTTTTCATCTCACCAGCCGCTCCTTGGA